TATTCTTCATAATCTCAACTCGAAATTATGAAAAATGTTTGTTTTACATGTTTTAGAAGTTTACATTTTTAAAAGTAAAAGATAAAAGATAAAATAAAAAAAAAAAAAAAAAAAAAAAAATAAATAAAACTCATCTTAATATTCTTCATAATACACATTCCAAGTAATAATATCAAGTTGGTTTTATAGAACAGAGAATATAATAGGAGGAGACGCCTAATTGCAGAGAGTTACAACGAGAAAGGTCTTCATTAGCATACAAGAGACACAATAACGTAAGTTACAAATATTTTCTTCTCGTAGACATTCCCCCGCGAGATAAACTATTCTTTTTTTAATCTTTTTTTTTTATTTATTGTTTAACAATTTAAAAATGTTACTTTTTTTTTTGCTTCTTACACAATTTACGAAGATCTGACGAATCAAAGTTGGTCGTCGTCGTCGTCGTCGTCGTTGTCGTGTTGTGTGCATCGATGATAAAAGAGAACAACACTGGTACTTAGAGTGTCTCTCTCTCCCTCTCCCTCTCCCTCCCCCCCCACCATCATAAAAGAGAATCCTGAGTTTATACCTGGTGGAGGTAACTTTCAGCTGGTAGGACTATATATAAGAGAATGACGAGTCCCGACCGCTCTCTCATGATAAAAGCTCGTGTGTGTTGTCAATCCGAGGGTTTACGTGTTCCTTGTTAAATTCTACTTCAATCAATCTACCTTAGTAATTGTCAACAGGTAAGTAAGCTAAATTTTCTCAAAATTTAGAATTTCTTTTCTTTTCTGTTTTTTTTTTTACAGATCAACGTTACGATTAATATAATACAAAAAAAAATGAAAAAAAAAACAAACAAACTTGTTAGTAGTTTCTTCGAATACGTGAAAGAGTATGTTCCAATGAGAGAGTACAGTGAAAAAGTGTGTTTTTTTTTTTTTTTTTCAATTTTTCATCAAACTTTGAAATATTATAATATCGATCTTATTTTTTGTTTTGTTTTTTTTTTTGGTCTCATATCATCAGTGTGGAATTATGAATATGACGGTGTCTCATTGAAAATGTATATTTTATTTTTAATATGTGAAACTCGATTAAATTAAATGGAATAATTTCGTGACGATTATTAGATATAATTAGTTGTTTGTTTTTTATTTTTTTTTTTTGAAAGATACGTGAGATTTATAAAGAATTTTTTTTTTCTTGGTTTCTTTCATTTTTTTTTTAATATCTAGAGAAATCTGATAAACAAGATTCATTTATTCAGGGCAATGTCCGACACGATTGTAACATTTAATTAAACTCACTCGAGTATCGTAAATGAACGATACCTTTTTGTCGTAGTTGGGAAAATGTATGAAATTAGTTTGGTCACGCACGGTGTACCAAGAGTTATGACACGTGCCTCACTCGCGGAAACCTCCGTTAAAACCGGTCGTACTTATTACCACGAATCAGGAACGAATTTGCACGCGTGAATAGAACTACTAGACGATAAATTGTAAGATTTACTTTCAGTATTATACGCATATATCTATATACATATTAATCATCCATTCATTTTTGACTTATCGAACAATTTCTCTTAGAAATTATAACCAATTTATGAATATTAATCGATTGCAAGTATTTTACCTTTTTTTTTTTTCACAATTTTTTTTTTCTTCTTTACTTTTCAATGTAATTTTTCTTCATTTTCAAAATTATATTCTTTTTTTTTTTTTTATATATAAATTACGTGTCACGTTGTTTGTCCGCAATGAACTCTTAAACTACTAAACCGATTTCAATCAAATTTTATACACTTTGTGCAGTTTCATTTAACTTGAAAGATAGGATAGTTTATATCTCAATTTATTGCGAATTATTTCAATTTATTAACAAAGAGTCATGATTATCTCTGTTAGTTCGATAAGATTCTAACAGATGGTGGTATTCGGAATGATTGTGAAGGGGGGAGGAGGGCACCCCTCTAGTTTTTTTTTTTTCAATAAAAATAAGTTTACTTCATTCATTGATTTTAAATTTGATTTGAAATATTTGTATATTTTATTTTCTTTTTCAAAAAAGTATTCAATATTTAATTACAATAATATATTTTTCTTTTTATTCTTTTTTTTTTTTTGTTCATAAATATTTGAATTTAAATTCCAAATTATTTCTCTAAATTTGTCACAATTAAAATTGATCTCATTTAATTATAAACTTTATAATTCTAATTGATTTTAATTACAATTTAAAAACTTTAGCACTAATATACTTATCAATATTATCAATGAAATTTTGTACTAATTTTGTTTTTAATTGTAATAACATTTTGTTTGTTTTTTTTTTTTTTTTTTTTTATTTCTTTATCTCCTTGTCAACGAGAGAACAACTTTTTTTGTAAATAATTTCATTACAACACAAATAGAAATATTTATCGATAAAATTACATACGAGCGATATAAATGTTTTCCCTATGGATAAAAAAGAATTCGCGTAGTTTAGAAAAAAAAAAGAAAAAAATGTCATTACAGGAATAAAGTGTGCTCCAGATTTCCTTAAGAGCGTGTCCAGAACCAGTCGGGTGGTGATGGTGGTAATGTTGGTAGTGATGGTGGTGGTGGTGGTGGTGGTGGTGGTGGTGGTGGTGGTTGGCTAAAAAAGAATTCGCGTAGTTTAGAAAAAAAAAAGAAAAAAATGTCATTACAGGAATAAAGTGTGCTCCAGATTTCCTTAAGAGCGTGTCCAGAANGTAGTGATGGTGGTGGTGGTGGTGGTGGTGGTGGTGGTGGTGGTGGTTGGCCGGTTACGTGTCCTGCACGCGGGTTATATTATACAGCCGCGTTCTCTGCATTTATACTTGCGGGACAACTATCTCTTTTTATATTATGCAATTGCTTTCTTCGACCGATGAACATTTTTTTTTTTTTTTTTTTAAAAGAACCGCCAACGTATCTGATATATCTGCACGTTCTTAATTTTTTCTTTCATTACGAAGATAATTTCTAAGGTATCGAATTTAAATCTTCACCCTCAATTAATTTGCTTCTTACGTTCTTCGTTGCTAGACATCAACAAATTACTCGAATAATAATAAAATTTAGAAAAAAAAAAAATAATAATAAAAGGATGAATTTTTGTTTATTCTTTTTTTCTCTCTTCTCAACAAATTTCTCTCTTTAATTTGTATTATTTATAAATAAATTTTATTTATATTATTATTTTATTATTCATAGTAATTTATTACACTAGTACAAGATACTCTTTTTTTTTTTTTGTAGAAAAATTTAATTGATCATTTCTTAATTTAATAAATATTTACATAGATTAATTATCGTTTATTAATTATTCTGATTCTATTATATAATTTGGTGATAAAAAAAAAGGTATTTACATGACATTACATCTTAATATATATATATAAATTGCATGTCACGTTGTTTGTCCGCAATGGACTCCTAAACTACTAAACCGATTTGAATAAAATTTTGCACACTTTGTGCAGTTTTATCCAACTTAAAAGATAGGATAGTTTATATCTCAATTTATAATCGGTATAAGGTAATTCGTTGACTAGAAGACGTGTGTATCGGACTGATTGTGAGCCACAGCAATGCGATTTACAAATCGCTTTTGTTATCACTGACTTATACAAATACATATGAAATGTTTCAAAATCATTGGATTAGAACTAATTGAATAGAAAAGAAAGAAATCAGATGATTCTTTGAATTAATATGAATACACGAATACCAAAGTATTTTAATCTTGATCTAACATAAGTGACAGTGATACTTGACCCATACTTTATACTACATCGTATTACAATCTACTTGCGCAACTTTCAACGTTTTATTCTGAAGCTAAGACCACAGGAATGAGACCATACGCAATTGGAGAAATGTCTATCGTGTTACAATTTTAATCTCGATTAAAAAAACAAAGAAAAATCTAGATTAATTCGAAACACTGGGTGCTACTGAATTTTTTTTTTTTTTTTTTTTTATTTATCTCGAATCAAAGATTGAACAATTTCTATAGCATCGATTAACTCTTTGGGGGCACAGTAGGATTAAAAGTGTCCCCCACCTTTTTGATACATTATTTATTTTACATTATTACATTATATGTAATACTTTTTATTAATAAAAAAAATATACCAATTTAGTTTCATTTAAAATGTAATCAAATTTCTATGCAACATAAGGACTATTTTATTATCTGAAATTCTATGGTGCAAAGAATTAATCCTTAAAGTGCACACTTGGGTAAAAGTTAGTTAAAGTGCACTGTAAATGTTTGACACTTGTCTCCTGAAACCGCTATTTAATATTTAGACCTTGCAATCATTTTTGTCAAAGTAGTTTGATACATCTGTTTTTAAAATAGAATAGGTTTTATACCAATCTGAATGAACACTAGATGGCACTGGACAAATAACTCATTTTTTCCAATTCAGTAGTACCATTTTCGAGAGATCAAGAATTTGTTGGGGTGTCAAACACCCACCCCATGTGCACTTAAACGATTAAGGTAAAACACACGAATACGTAATCTAGTAAGTAACGTAGGAAATATTTTGTTTTTGTTTTTGTTTTTGTTTTTTACGATTACGTGAAAACAGGAAGACTTGTCTTTTGTTTATTTTTGATTTTCTTATAACACGATTGATTTGATTCTAATATCAATTTGAAAGTTTCAATGATTTATATGATCTGTCACTCGTTACTACAAGAGAAATCACAAAGTACGAAAGGAAATAAATATTTAAGTATATCCATATAACTACGAAATAATATTTGACTAATGACGGGATGTTAATAACGAATAAAATTACCTGCTACCGGTGTTAAATCAATCAATAAAAAGAAAAAAATAAAAAAAGAAAAAAATAAAAACATAAATCTATAATTATGTACAATATTTTTATACGTACGTACATACACACATACGTGTATTTATTATTAATCATTCTTTATTAATTTACAATGAAAATCTTAATATTTATTTTTACGTATGTATCTACATTTTCGTCTATACAAAACTATAGTTCGATATAAATTTAATTACTTGGAAAAACTTTCTACGAAATAATTTCTTATCCATTTAATCGACCACTGACTTTATTTGATTTCTTTTCTTGTTTTTTCTTTTTCTTTTTCTTTTTTTCTCTCTCTCTCTCTCTCTCTCTTATTTCTTTCTATTTATCACATTCGAGATTGTATCTACGCAAATATCATGTGAAAGCAGTCGACGATATTTATGTAATACATGCATGATCGAATTTATGATTTTATTTCTTTCATAAAAAACAACAACAACAACAACAAAAATTAATCAGACAATTTCTACAATTATTTTATCTGATAAAACAATTCTCGTCAATCAATAATTTCTTCATTATTCTATCATTGCAAAATTATCTCATCAATATACTTACAAATGAAAATCTAATTAATCATTTTTATTATATTATTTTATTATATAATTATTAGATTTGAAATCATTCAAACTAGAGTCATTGAATATTATTTAAAAAAAAAAATAAATAAATAAATAATATTTTTTAATTAAAAATTATTAACTTAAAATGAAACTTTTATTTGATATTTATTCATCTATTCTTTCATAACAATTATAATACAACTTCGTAAAATTAAATTTGTATTCAATAACGTTCATTTATTTTTTTTTAATTATAATTATCTAGCAATATTAATTAAGGCATGTAACTCAATAACGTTGGTCTGTTCCAATTTCTTTTTCTTTTTTTCCTTATTATTATCATTATTATTATTATTATTATAGTTATCTAACGTTAAATTTAAAGTACGAAAATTCATCGAATAGTATTAAAATTAAATTCAAAGTGATGGAAAGACAAATATGCGAACAATGTTCTTATCCTGACGGGATTTACGGGATTAAAGAGAAATTGGAATGAAATAGAATAAAATAAGAGAAAAGAAAAAGTACAAAAAATAAAAAAAATAATAAAAAAGAGAAAAAGAAGGTTTCAAAGAAAAGGAATCATGTCGGAACGATTGAATTCCACGTGACATTCGGAGTAGAACCAAAAAGTCGCAGTTCTTTTTCCAACCGTTGCAAACGTACCTTTGATATCCTTCAAAGTATATATATATACTTAAATATATATGTATATAGTACATATATACAACGAATAACTACTCGACTTCGAGATATACGATACAGCAGCACGTTTGTTGTTTCTTTCTCTTTCTTTTTCTTTCTTTCTTTCTTTCTTTTTTCTTTCCCCTCTTTGTCGAGCTGATTTTTATACGCAGTCCCCTCTCACTTTCACTTCATCGAGTCTTACAAGTCGACTTTTCTTAACGATCAACTTCAAACCAGAACCACCATTATCATTTTTCCTACTCAAACAGGCCAGGGACAATTGAAATTTCTAATATCGATCATATCGATCGATTAAATATTAACGAGACTACATACTTATCGTTTAATATATTTTTTTTTAATATTCATGATCACAACTCTCTCAAAATTCATACTAATGTTTAATATTATTAACTTTTCATATTTTTTTTTGTAATAAAAAATTTGATTAATAATAATCGTTGAATGATGGAAGATCATTTGGATCAAATATAAACGTACAAAATTGTTACTAATTTCGATTATCTTATTATTATTATTATTATTATTTAATGAAAAAAAAAAGAAAAAAAAATGAGTAAAAATATATTTAACTTTTAACCTTTTTCATCCTCTACCCACACAGAAAAGAAATCTTATATAAGCAAGCCATAACTTTTAGGTTGCACTTTCAATTTTATAACGAACAGGTGTACTAAAAGGATGCCAACATCGTGATTAGGCTAACAGAAGTCTAATTAATTAACGTTTAAATCGTTCTTATCGAACTATAAATGATTTCCATTAGTCTATCATCATCATCATGCAAATGTAACACTTAATAATAATAATAATAATAATAAAAAAAAAAAAAAATAACAAGACATGAAATCGATTAAATCAGAAAGATTTATTGAGACAGTTATCGAATGAATTATTGCGATTAGGCAAACGTGAGAGTAATTAATCAACGATAAGATCGATCTTGTCGAATTTATTTAAAAATAATTTCGATTAGTTTATCATCATCATTATTATCATCATAATAATTTTCATCATGAAATTATGGAAAATGTAATAAATAAATAAATGATAATCGGTAGGATTTATTTGATCGAATGAATCTCGTCTCAGATAAAGGATCTTTAACGAATCGTGAAAATCAAACACTTGTCCGAGTTTTGCACGCTTAGAAAGTAAGTAAGACGCTTTCCACACAGCTGTTCGCCACGCAAACCATAAATGCACCATAAAAATGAATAATTGGTTAAATGTCTAACTGTCTGTCCGTTTTCGATCATCGAAAAATGGCTCACGTGAGAGTTTGAAATATGAACTCTTTTGTTGATTGAACGAAACAATATTGCCAGAAGTTTCTCTATGCAAATGTGTCCTTTGTAATTGTTGACTGTTCTAATTGATTCACTTGTGTATTAACAAAAGAGACTTATTCATTTGTTGTTCTGTAAAATATTCTAACTAATACATTGACAGCTTTCATTGGAAGAAGATTTATGCTAATATCGAAATAGAAATTCTTTTCATTTTATTTGATTGAATGAAATAATGTTTTTTATTATTTCTACGCATAGTTTATTTCAACATGTTGTTTGTTCGCAATGGACTCTTAAACTACTGAACCGATTTTAATCAAATTTTGCACACTTTGTGCAGTTTCATCCAACTTGAAAGATAGAATAGTTTATATTAACAAAGAGTCATGATTATCTCTATTAATTCGATAAGATTCTAACAGATAGCGGTATAAGGTAATTCGTTCGACTTAAAGACGTGTGTATCGGACTGATCGTGAGCCACAGCAACACGTGTCGGGACACCCCTATTGTTTATATTAATTAATCGATTTTTATTTTTAAAAAATGTTCATTTATATATCTTGTCCTATTAATTTATATATTTCTACTAATTTGTATACTACTTTCATCAAAAAATTCATTCGTAGTAGTTTGTTCATACAAATGTATCTTTGTACCTTTCGTGACTCAGACTGATTGATTTTTATTAACAAAGAGACCATTATTAATGATCCATTGACCATCTTCGTCATTAAAATTGAAATAGAAATTAGTTTTGTTTGTAGAATATCATTGTTTTTGATTTTCATCCAACATACAAATGTATCTTTGTGTATTAATTCAAAATCCATTGATTTTTACTAAATCATTTTACATCAATGAGATCATTGATTTATTTTCTCTTCACAAATATACTAATTTAAACAAACAAAAAAAAACAATGAATACTTGACGCGAGACAAGTGTGTGTTTTCTCTTTTCGCCTAAAACAAACGAACTTCTTGTGTGTGTGCTTTGTTTTTTTTTTCTATCTCTTTTACATTTAGCTTTCCAGTTTATTTCCATAAACAGAGAAAACGTTCAGTCATTGACGTGTAAAAGGATCATGGAAGGAAGAGAAAATAAGAAAGAGAAGAATAAAAAGAAAAGAAGGACACGAGAGAAAATAATAAAAAAAAAAAAGAGAAAAAAAAGAAAAGAAAGAGATAGAAAGTGGTGGTTTAGATCTTTATAGTCGATTGGCCGAAATAAAGCGCACCCGTTGTTGTTAACTTTCTAAAAGTTTAACTATAAGTTTCTTATAACTTTCGCTATAACGAACATAAGCTCGCAAATCTTTTTTTGTTTTTGTTTTTGTTTAATAATAATATAACGTAATTTTGTATCATTGAACAAACTTTTGATGATCAAGGTTTGACTTTCGCATAAAGTATTTAATATGTATTTAAGATAAATATATATATATATATACATATATACACACGTGTGTGGCATTAGATATTAGAAATGAAATCTATAAATTATACTAATTATAGTCTATTTACTGAATAATCATAAAAAATGTATAATAGTTAAATTACAATATCTTAACTTTCTCATTGAATTATTTCAGAATGCATCGAATTGGTCTGCTGTTTGTAGCCGCAATAGCGGTTGCTCAAAATCCTTACGATTTAGAACCAAGAGCTGTTACACTTTCTGGCAAACAAACATTAGGACCACTTTATTCGTCAGCCTTAAATGGTGGTCAAGGTTTTCGTGATAACAGTTACGAGGATAACGCAGTAACACCAACCCCATCTTCGGCACCACTTTACAGAAATCCTAATAATCAACAACCTGTAATTACAAATTTAGTTTTTATTATTATTATTATTATAATTATTATTATTACAAATGTTGAGAGTTCTATTGATTGATCAATTAATCATGTTTATCTTGATTTTGTATTTTAGTTGTATCGCAAACCATCACCATCGCCACTCGATGGTTCCCGTGATTATCAATCGAGTGTAAGAGTAGGAGGAGGAGGAGGTGGCCCACCACGTGGACCTCTTCGTGGTGGTGGTCCAATTGGTCCTAATGGTCCGGTATGTAAATAATACATTTTTTATCTATCAACTATTATGATTTAAATAGTAATGTGTGTTTAATACAATCATTTATTTGTATTTGAAGATCAATGCCGAAGAAATTGAGGAAGAAAAAGAGGAACCTGATCGTTTGACGTTACTTCTTCCACAAAGTAAATTCGATTGCGTTGGCAAACAAACTGGATATTATGCGGATGAAGATTTGCACTGCGAGGTATTCCATTATTGTCATGATAATGCCAAACATTCGTGGATCTGTCCAGAAGGATTTACTTTCCATCAGGTAAGTTGAGAACAAAATTCATTTTCACTTGTACGATCTGGCAAGATTAGTTAACACGTTAGATTTTGTTGACAAAATTCTAATCGACTTGAGTATTAATACAGATTTGATTCACCAACTTTATTCGAACAACTTCCGGGATAAAAGTATAATTCGTATTTCCTTACGAAGTAAACGTAAACGATCGTGCATTATCGATAACTAACTTATATTCCTTTCGCTTTTCACCAAGTAAAGGTCATTATTAACTGTGTTCGTGTTCTAGGTTCATTTGATTTGCATGCCACCGAGCGGTGATATCAGTTGCAAGAAGAGTTCTCAATATCATTTCGTCAACGAGTATCTTTACAAACCATTGAACTTGGCCGAAGCTGAAACGAAACCTAACGTGACCTTGAGATACAGCGAGAGGTATTATCCAGCTGACATATATACCGATGAAAGAGAAGCAGGAGATTATCAGATTACTCCATCATCGGCACCACCACCAGTTAGACGTCCTTTGCAGCAGGTACCGTTCCCATATCATTTCTGAAGACTTCCATTAATTCGTCATACCAGCATACAAACACACTCTGTGACGTCCAACTACAATTTGGATTTTCTTTTCGTGAAGTGTCTAAAAACATCTGTCTTGTTTCTAATGAAAAACACGAAAAAGAAAAGAATAAATACAACGAGTGAAAGGATTTCTCTGTTCACGATCAACGTGATTATTATTCGCATGTTGTTGTTCATTATTGTTATCTATTAAGTTGAAATATAGATTGGATTTCTCTGTGCATGTTGTCTTTCTTCTACTCTTCATCTCTTTCTCTCTTTCTTTCTTTCTTTCTTTCTTTCTTTCTCTTCCTTTGCCTTTTTCAAGCTTCTTCATCTTCTTTTTATTTGTTGTTGTTTATATTCTCTTTTGCTTGATTCTATACTTTGCTTACTATCGTTGTCTTTTCTATTGCACTTTTCATTGAACTATGTTGCACCATCGTTTAAACGTTTTTGCGTTCAACATGAACCAACTCGAATGATAAGAACAATCCTCGTTATCTTCGGAAAATAAATAAATAAATAAAATAAGAAAAAGACTTGCCCCAAAAAAAAGGGAGGATGACGATCCCAATAGTTTTTCTTACTATAAGAAGATCGTATATACCTAGTTTGTGTTTATTATTAAAACTTTGCAAATCCGTTCAGGTTTTCGTCGGTGGTCAACAACCATCAACAGCATTGAACAGCATTCCTTCCTCGGCACGTTCTCAAATTCAACTTCCGCAATTTCGTTTACCGGTGAACCAAGTTTTTCATAGCCCGGAAGAAGTGAATATACCTCTTCAACATAGACGACCACAGCCACAACAGCATCAAGCGATCAGAAGATTCCCGCAAGTTCGACCTGCGGAAGAATCCTACGAGTAAACTTTGTCAATCATTCATTCTTTTTCTTTCTTCTTTTTTTTTTTTTTTTTTTTTTTGTTCTTTTCTTTCTTGATCATTACTTCTCCTCAAATTCATTAACAAATTTCGAAATACTCGGAGACATTATACTTATAATAATTCGTTTTAAGAATCATATTCGATCATATTCATTCTCCGTCATTTCATTCGCTCATTTTTCAATATTTTTATTTTTATTTTTTTTTGATTTTTCTGCCAATTTTATTATAATCATTTTTCTATCTCTCTTTCTTTCTTCCATTTTAAACAGGATCAATTTATTTTGTAGTTTAAACGACACGATGAAAGTTTAATTATATTATAGGAATTTAGAATCAATATTTATTCCATCATATATATATATAGATATTTTTTTTTTTTTCAAAGTATAATAATACTCGTATATATTTTTGTTCTCTCTCTCTCTCTCTCTCTCTCTCTTATACTTTATTTCTTTCTTTCTATCGTACAATGTGTGCATTTTTCTTGTCTTTCCTCGTTTTTTGCTTTACATTTGTAAATTATACAAATTGATTAACTTTGTTCCCCTCATATTGCCCGTTGGTTATGAAAATGTAACACGAAACGTAAAAAATATTATTTTTTTTTTAATTTAAATGATCTTCCTTCTTGTCATATTAGGTCGAGTCATAAGTAACTTCCGATGCAACTATGTAGAATCTATTTTTCGTATTTACCTATTATAAGTCACCGAAACAAAACGGATTTTCGATATCACTGTATAGATGAGAATTCAGTTAGTCTTCTGTCAACTTTTTGAAGTGAAAACAAAAAAAAACTCCATGAAAGGTGTCTTGCACTTATCAGTCTCGTAAGAACCAGAAGTTATTTATGACTCGACCTAATATTACAAATTTTAATTGAGTTGATCTTTTTGTCATTGTTATTATAATTATTGTAAATAATAAAACGATAATAAATTAGGTATATAATAATGAGAGATTGTATGTATGTTACGTTTTTATTTCATTGAATTATTTCAAATGGGAAGATCAATAAATTGTTATCGAATTACTTTTTACAATGACCATAATTATACTATCAATATTTTGTATGAATAAAATAATAATAATAATAACAGTCATTCTTAAAGGGCAAGATTTACAACGAATGTAATCCCAGGAAATAATTTTTATATCTTTTTTTTTTTTCTTACAAATCCAATGAAAAAAACTATAGAAGAAGAAAACAAAATGTATCTTTGTTCTTTTTCATATATACGCTGTTAAAATGTGTATTAATTGTAAACATAAAAATATACATACGAAGAAATTATGTAAAACATTTTACTACATATTCTGTATTAAATTATATGTTTTATTTAAATATGAATTATTTTTAATAACGTGGTTGTTGTACACATACGCCGAAGTGTGATAACACGCTAATAATACAAAGTAGGCGATACCTATGAAGAAATCAACATTATTTCTTTCACAGTATATGAATTTATTTCACATATCGTTATTTTTTTTTTCTTTTTAATCTTGTATCTTCTTTTGTTTTTTTTGTTTTTTTTTTTTTTTTAAATACACTATTTCAAAATAAGTTTCTATATGGGTGATGATTTTCGCGATTATTACAGATTATATGATTAAATGGATAAAAATATAAACAACCTCTGTAAAGCACAGGATTAATACTGTCTCATCTTATAATTTACAATTAAATTTTTATATCAATTATATCTTTAATACTGTACAATTTAATCATTGCAAGTACATTTCTCATATTTCTTTTATTTTACTATTGATAATAATAATAATAATAATAATAACATTAATAATAATACTAATAATACTACTACTACTACTACTACTACTAATAATAATAATAATAATAATAATAATAAAATTATAATAATAATGATTACAATGTTTCATTTGAATATGAATTATCTAAATTTATTTAAATGAGGCAGTATCATTCGTAATTTGCTGCTGCTGTTGAAGAAGAAGAAGATGAAGATGAAGATGAAGAAGAAGAAGAAGAAGAAGAAAAAGAAGATGATACTCTTACATTTCCATAGTTATACATATTTTCATCATTTCTACACAGCATCTCTTTCAACTACAAACATGCATATCTGACTTTTAAAAATGTCTCATTTCAGAGTGTGACGATATAGAAAGACTAAACAACAACACTTCAATTTTGTATCTTGCAAAAGAATCTGTGCAATAATATGTAAGGAACACTGCTTTTCAGTATAAAATTTGGCACTATTTTATAAATAACCATTCCCCTCTTTCTTGTTGTTCTTGATTTTTTTTTTGTCCACCTTTTACAAATAATTAACATCATTCTAACTCTTTTTTTTTAAAACTATACGCACACAGTGTGATGATAATGATGATGATGATGATAATGATGATGATGATGATGATGATGATGATGATGCGAGGGCTCATTCGATTTGATTTATAAATCATGCACATTATTCTCAAACTGTGATCAGAGGATTTTTGTTTTTTGATATTTCACATTATTTACTACTACTACTGCATTTCTTGAATGAATAAACAATATACATTATATATATATTTTTTTTTGTTTCGTTTCTTTTTTTTTTTAATTAGGAAGGCTTACTAATGTATAGTAGTTTTATATATATATATATATATAAATGTATGTATGTATATGTTTGGTATACGTTATGTTTACATATACATATAATAACATCCTCTCTACACAGTAACTTTCTTCTAAAATATTACTTGCATCGTGTTACATGAATTTCAAATAAATCTATTTTAAATGTAATATAAAATGAGAAGGAAAAAAGAAGAAAAAGAATGAAGTGGAAAGAAGAAAATATGAAAAAAAAAAAAAAATGAAAAAATGCATTAAAAGAATGTAATATACATTTGTTAGAAAACAACAGAAATTTATCAAAAAGTAAATTTGTAATTATTAATAAATAATAATAATATCAATTATTATTATTATTATTACTATTATTATTATTATTATTATTATTATTATTATTATTACTATTACTTTAAATCTATATAAGTGCAATATTTAAAAGAATAATAATAATATAATATCCTAGCTATCACCGCATACAAGATTAAAAGAAAACAAATAATAATAACATGATTATAATAACATATATAAATAATTAATAAATGCCTAATAATTATAGTTATGTGTGTGTGTGTGTGTGTTTGTATGTGTGTGAATATTAGCATACTAATAAACTGTATTTTTTTTTTATTTCTTTTTTTTTTTTTTAAACAACGCAGTCACAACTTTCCATATCTGGTGGGTTTGCATTATTACCTTCTTCTATAATATACAATTATTACAAATTTTCAATTTTGATTTTATGATAATGGACATTTTAATTAGATATTATTTCCTTATACTCGTTAAGGTATAGAAATTGTATGTAGAAAAAAATTATAATTCGTTATTGACAATTAAGATCCATTATGTGAATAAAATCAATCAATCAATGAATTATAAATTCATTCCTGAGAGACAAGATAACAAATTAAAGAAGAATATTTTTCCAATAATATTACAAGATACTTCATAAAGAGTTAATTTGAGCATTTAATTTGTTTAGAAAAAAAAAATAGAAATTTTGGAAAATAATTAATTCAATGAAACAAAATTAGAATATAAATTACAAATCAAATCAAATTGTTTACTTTAATGTAATTTTAACGATCAAGTGTGATATACTTGTTCTTAATGATCTTAGGCATTAAGATATGTATACTGAATGAACTGGCACCCTGAGTAAGAGAGAGAGAGAGAGAGAGAGAGAGAAATAAAAAAAGAGTATGATCTTAGATAAAATGAAATTTTGAAGAAGCAAACGCACCGATTGGCTATCATGGAAATATCTTATTTCGTTCTACTCAAAAATGTGTACTTGTACTTATATTTAATTAAATATATATATATATATATTAAATATGATCATGAGAAATTGGTATGCTAATGGTTTCGCATGCATATCTCTTCATTCACTTTAAACTTCTTATTTATATTAAAGCTTGGCAAACTATGGATAAAATATTAATTTTTTTTCTTTGACCTCCTGTAACAAAATGAATAAATGAATGAATTAAATAATCTTATTAATAATGTGTCATGTGTGTGTGTGTGTGTGTGTGTGTTTGTGTACATAAATACATCATAAAACCAAGCATTTAAGTAATAATACATTAAGAAATAAATGAATGTATATATATATAGGATGTCTTGTAATTAGTGATACAAACGAAGAAGATTAGATGATTATACAATAAAAAAAAAAAAAAAACTAAGTAGAAAATGTAGAATCCATTCTCTAATATCATTTGTATCATCAGATACAAATTTACATTCTGTATATTAATAATAAATGCAAAATTGTGATAGATATATATAATAATATAAATAAATATATAACACATATTGCAAATCCACCATAGATATGTTGGTTTCAATATGAGAAGCAATGTAAAAGTTGGTTTATCACTGTAAATATAATATTTTATCCTTCTACTACTTATCTTGTCTATTTTTTGTTTTTCTTTTTAGGTACATCTGAATTTGCCTGCGTGTATGATGTGATAATAATGTGAATAATAATATGAACAATTCTTGAATTAGAAAGAATAACGTGTCAATAAAATTGAAGATACAATAGGTCTATACAAGAAATTCACTTGTATATATATATTGCTGACATATAAAGATAAAAACAGGTTAAATATAAACTAGGAATGTACATATAATATATCTATCCCATTTTCGATAGTTGATTTTTTCTAATATTCATTCATCTCGACTCTACACGAAAAAAAAAAAAAAAAGAAAAGAAATTCATTCAACTATTATTAATCTGTTGAATTTATTTTGAATAATATTCAAATGTAATTGATTATTTTTTTAATAATATAACGCAACACATCCAAAATTAATACACTATCATGGTAAAAATTCTCTGTTTTTGTCAAATTGTGTATACGTACACTTGTTGCTTTTATATGATAACAATTCGATTTGATTATTACAATAGCACATTACTCTTTCTCTTATGCGTGTAAAATTTGCTTTCTTTTTTTTTTTTTTTCGTGAAGAGAAGTTATTTTTTTTTTATAATTATTATAGTATCTTAATTTGTTGTTGTTGTTTAATTAATGGTTACAGTTAAAGTCCCCCCCACAAGATCAAATTCTGTTGCAACACTTATATCCTTTAATCAACGAACATGTATGTCATATAGTTAAGATTATGTATACATTTTAGGTGAGCTAAATTATTATTATTATTATTATTATTATTATTATTATTATTATTATTATTAGGAGTTTAATTAAAACTGGAAGTCCCATACATAAAACAGAATTTGATCTTGCAATCTTGAAGACAGATGATAATAAGTTCGTTCATTTCCTATATTACAGATAGGAAATATTGAACTGGTATAATTTGGCTGTTCAAATATAATTTGATTAAAGGTAAATTGACATTTCCTTTTTTTTTTTCTCTTACTATGTTAATTCATTCTGTAAGATATGAAGGCAGGTGTGGAGTACAATTGTCATGCTCTCTTGTTATTTGTGATATTTTTTTTCTTGTTTTTTTTTTGGTTTTGTTTTCATTTTTATCTTTTTCTTATAATATATTTATATACATACAGCGGGTAATAAAATATTCATATATACTTGCAATTATAACAAATAATAAATAATGTATAATTTTGATAAGTTCTACATAAATATTTTATATGTAAAAAAAAATGGCTTTGTAGCCTTTTTAGCATAAATTCGACCAGTTCCTTGATTATTTGTTTGTTTGTTTTTTTTGATATTTCTGTCCATCACTCTTTCAAAAGTATTAACAAATCATTTGTAATTAGTATTTCTAAATGATTAAACTATTAATGAAAATAATTCTTATCGATGTACTACCATTTGTTTGTTTGCGTATCATCACAAAAATTAGCTCTGTATAAATACTTTTGTTTCTACCCACTGTATTTATACCTTTAATAAATATCTAAAAAATTTTTACTAAAGATTTTTCAAATAAAATATTAACTCTTCTCTTATATTTATTCATGATTATATATATATATATAATATATATATTAAATTTATATGCTAAGAAGTGTGTTACCAAAGAGTTATTCTTTTTTTTTTTTTTTAAATATTAAAATCATTTTACCAGGGAACAATAGTAAGCAGTGATTTCCTGGGGCCATGCACCACTCGATCTCTATTGTGCTTTTGCTATTCGTTTTTATACAGAATGAGGAGAGTCTCTTAACATGACATTACTTCAAATAACTCGTAAATTATTTGTGATACAATAAAATGTTACACAAACAAAAGTTGTGCATGATATTTAGGTAGTAGACATATAATGCTCTAATCTGTTTTCTATTATCTTCCTTTGTTTTTTTTTTAATTAAGATTTTAGGATCACCTTCAGTTTTTTAAATAGAATGTTTAAGATTGTTTTGTCAAGTTCGAATAAATAATCAAATTTTGTGTTAAAAATTATACAAAGTGGGACGTAAAATGAATAATTATTGAGATATTTATAAAATAAGTTTTATTTCAAGTGATATTTGAAATACTGTCCATTACAATCGATGCATTTTAACGTAATCGAATTATCAGTAAGTAAAGGAACTTTTTCTAATATTTTTGTAATTATTATAATCATACAGTAATAATACGTTGTCGCAAATCTTCGGCTGTCGTTGGTGGTTTCGCGATAAACTTCATTCTTAAATGTTCTTTGATTAATCGAGTAATATTAATCTAATAAACGAGTTTGACCAACCAATGTTACTGACACACGTCTGATCGATCCAACGATTAGAACAAATATTCTACTAATACTTACCATGATTTTTGAGTATAATGTACTGGACAGCTTTATTAAGTGGTATCATCATGATACTATATTATTTGATGTATTAAACATGGTACATGTTTTAATAGGCCTATCAGTAATTCAGACAAGAACGTGAAGAAGTATGTTTGACCTGTTAGTGGTCTTTCAATGAAGTTTAATGATCCAATGGTGACCAATTATGCCGCACCAACCATTCAAATTTCACCAGTGTTGTGATGGTCAACTTCTTGCAAATGCAGTGTGGATGTTTCAATATTTCATATTGATAATTGTAAACGTTTAAAACTGGGAACATGTTTACAAACATGACTTGCCGTCATAAACAAAGTCGTGTTAAGAATCAAGTTATTTTCTTTTTTGTTCCTAATAGAAGATTAATTAATTTAAAAGTAATCTCAGTAATTATATACATTGAGTTTCATTTGATGTTATCTCTTTAACGCACAATTTGATTATTTATTCGTTTAAAAAAATTGAAGGTGATCATCCTTAATATCTCAATAAAAAAAAAAAAAAAAAGTGAGATAAGAAAAAATCGATTAGAGCGTTATAATATGTTCTCTTAAATATCATGCACAATTTTTCTTTTCAAACATTTTGTTTTCGTACAACGAATAATTTACGAATAAGTTGTTATGTTAACAGACAGACTCACCCTGTATAAGTGATACACTTCAAATGGGAAGACACTAACTGGCTGACTCTGATAAGCTTTTTCTTTCTTTCTTTCTTTTTTTTTTTTTTTTAATACTCTAAATATATCCAGGTACAAAAAGCATACTAATTCGAGAAAGCACATGATTCGCAAAAGAAATTTTACATTTCCTGGTTTCATAAGGACAAGTTCAGCCACAGGATATATAGACCATTATTTTTTATACATTTAAAAAAAAGAAGAAGAAAAAAAAAAAAAGACAAAATTAATAACTTCTGTTAATACTTCGACGTGTTATTGCCTATTAACTTGTTCAATCTTATGTACTCCATAGGTGCCTCTCTGCTTTCACCCGCTTTACGAAGCATCCATTGAAAACAGGCTAAATATTTCATAAAGTGAAGTTGGTATGTGATTTTGCACTCTACAAGTAGCCCATGTATTTTCCATTATTCTGTAAATATATATAATATATATATATTTATTGTTATTATTATTATTATTATTATTATTATTATTATTATATTAATTGGCGTTAGGAACTCGAAAGTTCATTGCCGTAAATACGCAAATCCCGCCAGTGTTACCGTCCCTGAGCGCGACCCATCCATTCGCGATATTCGTAGCCTATTTCTTTAAGATCCCTCATAATATTGTCCTCCCATCTATGTTTCGGTCTAACCGATAGTCTTTTCCCGTTTGATATACCAATCAGTAGTATTTTATGTGCTGTTCGATACTTTCCCATACGCGTCACGTGACACCTGCCCATCTTAATCGGCGTGATTATAATACGACGTTCATGATGTCCGGTTTGTTGTACAGTCGGTGTACTTCTACTTTATGAAGTTTTCTTCATTTGCCCGTTTCCCCAACGCATTTTGCACCGAATATATATATATACATATATATTTATATATACGTATATTATTTTATATCAATAAAAATAGGACTTTCGTTTAGTAAAAATGATCAGAGTCACGCACTTAACAACAGTACAAAACCAGGCACACTTCAGGGATCCATAATTTGATGTATTCAGCATTAACTATTTGACAGGACGATAATGAAGTGTTAAATCTGCTGAATTTTTCCAAATAAAGTGCCTTACCTATAATAAATATCGAGAGAAAATTAAAAATTACAAATTGTTCAAGATACGAATGATATTATTATTCGATATTTTAAATTATTGAACTTACAGTCCTCAAGTCCATAGACGGATCTAAAACTTGATCATTACATAAAATTTCAACTTTTTCTTCGGCTAATGAAGATGTATCAGCATTAGAATCTGTATTAGCTCTATCTCCTGCTGGAGAACCACCAGATACGGAATTACCACCGCCAGTTACTAAACCAGAATCACTGCCTGCACAAAGTGCTTTATCAAAAATATGTTCTGCCACTTTTCGAATTTGTATAAAATCATTTGCAATTAAACGATCCCTTTAGAGGAGAAGAAAAAAAAAGAAGAATAATATGAATGAGTTAGTGATAAATCATATATATATATATATATATATATGTGTGTATAACGTGCAATTTCAAATAAACAAAATTTACGTTACTTTTTCAGACTTTTCACTCCGGAACTTGCGTGCGGAGTTAAATAAAATGGTATTTTGATGAATTGTGGAAGATGTTTATTTGCTACGATATTGGATACCCATAATGGTACCGTGTCATTTAATAATACACTTTCTGTTTCACCTGCGGCATCACGTACTAGTAACCTACACATTGTTCTACCGCCAACTTCGCTAAAAAGTGTACAATGTATTTTTGAAATTAGTTGTAACGATATGTTGAGCCAATATGAAAAATGCTTTTGATAATCTTACATACCTGAAAATTACAGGTGTATGACCAGGTACAGAGAAGTACAAATTTCTACCACTATCATGTGCTGATCCATTTCCATCATTACCATTTCCCTCATTATCATCATCAGCGTTCATTGGTCGCCACCAGTGTTCAAGAAGTGCTTGTAAAAGTAGGCTTCCGTAATTTACTATAAAGAATTTTAATGATCATCATTTTCTTTTACAAGACTAACTCTCCTCGAAATAAAGGTAAGATACCTTTTTGATCTTGACTCTTATTATCCGTAAGACCGGCTTCTTTAGCAGAAACCCATGCAGAAAAACAATCATTTTCATCTTGTCCTAAATGGATGCTCAACATCTAAGAAAGAAAATAATCATTTTTAACAATTGTTTAATATCATCATCTATTTCAATGAATAAATCGTTGTATTGAGTAAAAGTACAAACCCCAGTCTTGAGATCGACATTAAACCAATTTGGAACATAAACCATCTTATTTCTCTTTTTAATCTCCTGTTCAAAATCTACACGACCTAAATCTTCCACTTTACATGCTTTTAATACATCATATAACGCTACATTTTCATCTGTATCTTTTGTTAAAACGTATCTCCTATCATTTAGGATATGGCAGTGTCGTATTGCAGGGGCTCCTAATATCCTCTGGCTCGGTTCTGTATTTAATGGTACACCAACATTTCCTGCCATTCCTCCGGCAGAGTCACAATAATCTCCAATATCTTGCCAATCTCTTTGGCTTATAGACTAATCAAATGAAATAATTACTTAATGAATTATTATTATTATTATTATTATTATCATCTAAGTAAATGAATGTTATAGTTATCTTACAAATGATATCAATCAAATGAATTGATTACCCAATTATTAATGGTAGATTCACTAGTTGCAACCCAAATACTCGATTGATCAGGGGTCATAGCCATTTTGAGAATAGGTTCTTTTTCTTCACATATAACAAAAGATTTCTCTGGATGGCTTAACTCAGTCATTACAACTCTTTTATCTCTACCACCTGATATTACATGACTAAAAGTATCTGTAGCCTACGAGAAAATAAATTAAAAGCAGTTATAAAAGTACTTATATTTAATAAATACCTGATTAAAATGAGATAACATAGAAAGTACCAATAACGCCCAAACACCTTCGTTATGTACTCTGTAAGTTTGCAGACATCTTTGTTCACCGAGTGACCATAATTTAATCGTGCCATCTGAACTAGCAGATAAACATTTGGTGCCATCTCTATTTAGCACTAAAGCTTTAATATTGTCCGTATGGCCACGTAATTTCATTTGTTTTGTACAACATCTTGGATCCCATACTCTAAGAACTTTTTCCGTACTTCCGCTAACTATAGCTGTTCCGGTAACGTTCATAGCAAGGCTATATATCGAATCCTTGCTGCCAGACAAAGTTGATGCTACAACATCACTATATTTTAAGCAAGCTCTGTCCTAAGATTTATTATTTGCAAAGCGCACTTACTCGTCACTGTATTATTACTCGCAGTGAGAGCTGTAAGGGTATTTACATCCCAGAGGTAGATTGTTTTGTCTAAGCCTGCACTAGCTACTAGTTCTCTGTCTTTAGCATATGCCAATGCTTTTACATAATCCCTATGAGTTCTTAACGTTGACATGCAAAATCCTTTATGCGCGTTCCATACCTTAACTGTTGTATCAGAGCTAGCGGATATAACTAAAAAAAAAAAAAAATATATTATTTACATTTTTGTTTCAATAAGATAACATTTTTCATTAATCATACTAGATTTTATCCAAAAGAAAATAAAATACATACGAGTCTTTCCGCTACAACATAAGACAATATCATTGACCCAATCTGTATGATGTTCCATTGACTGTATATAAGGTTCATTCATATTCTTGCAATTCCATATTCTTATAATACTATCTCTGCCAGCAGAATAAAGTCTATGTAAAATTGGATCATATTGTAAAGAATTAACTCCAGCTCTGTGCCTTCTTTCAACTTCATCTCTTATGACCATGGATACCTTTATTGAATATTTATTAAAAATAAATCAATTTTTCTCTTTAATTTATCCCCTTTACTTCTTCTTAATTTACATTGTCTATTTAATAAAAATTAAAATTCATATAATAATATTAAGAAAGAAAAGAAAAAAAGTTAAAATATTAATTAATTTCATTCGACACAATTGCGTCTTAATAATAAATTAAATAATTAATTAATATACAAAAAAAAAAAAAGAAAAAAAGTAAAATTACAGTAATTTAAATACACGTCTGTATTTCGGTCATTTAAAATACATGCGTGCAAATTTCATCCAAACAAGCAATATGGCGATCGATGAATTATAATTCGATAGTTGAACTAAAGTACTTAACAAGCTACTGTAAACAATCTTGTCTTATTTCAATATAAATATTTAAACGAATGTTAGATTATTAAAGAATTTATTATTCAAATTGTTCAATTCATATAGATGAGAATAGAAAAAGGTTTTCAAAAACGATCAATCGTAGGATTCTTTAAGAACTTCTAAGTAATGGAATTAAAAAAGAATTAGAAAAGAAAATAAATAAATAAAAGGAAAGAGACAACTTGATAGGTAGCTGACCTTTACATGCTACCGTGTGTAATATCTGCTATGTACACACATCATTGTTACATATATATATATGATATGTACGATGCATATACATGTGTAATATGTGTGCATATAAATATGTATATAAATATGTATATACATATTACATATCACATATCATATATATATATATATATATACACATACATCAAGAAAGGACGGTATGATACTTTAAAATCAATGTCTCGTTAGAAACTAAAATAAAGTAAAAAAGAAAAAAAACAGAATAATTTATATTTCTTACTAAAATTCTAATCACACCTGATATAGTATTGTCATAAAGCAGATTTTAAAAAGATAAATAAAAAAAAAAAAAAAAAAACAAATAAGAAAGTGAATAAGAATGAATAAGATAAAAATGAAGAATCTATGGATTAGAAAGATGAAATGAATATGATGATGAGGAAGAGAGATAGATAGATAGAGAGATAGATAGATAGATGATAAAAGAAAACGTACCTGTATCTTCTTACGTGTACTCTGTCCTCCTGTCTTATGGGCTGCCATTATTATATGTCGCCGATGTTATTTCGCTTATCCCCGTATTTATTTAATTTATGTTGCAAAGGATGAAAACATTCGTAAAATAATTACTGAATTTCAAGCGGGATTGCGCGTCGCGAACCGTACAACAAACCGGCTAGTTGAATCATCGTCGAGCGTAACTGTAACCTCGCACGATTGTCTCGAAAATCGTGCTCGTACGAGGACGCGAAAACAATTCATCGAGCATTATGCCGTGTATGTCGTTATTCCTAGATTGCCACCAGTCGAGTAGTAATCCGCGATAGTAAATATATATATATATATATATATATATTGTAGTACGTATTTACTCCCACTTCTTATTTCAATGGTGACTCCTAGGGTCCCTAGTATATACGTTCGAAAGATCGACTACGATGTTAATTGTTTCTCTACTCGATCAGATGGCGCTTAAGTCGACGTCGATAACCAACTCGATTATTCGTCGGTATAATCGACCAAGTGACGGCTCAAACGATATCGATAACCTCGATCTTTGCATATTTTCAATTAATTTTCTTTCCATTATCTTGGCAGCATTGATTTTAAAGCACACAATAGTTTTATATCAAGATTTTTATTTCGTGTTACCAACTTTATTATATTTCTTCTTTGCGTGGAATAATTATAACCTATGTGATATTTAACGTTATGTATATCTACATTAATTATCATTATCAATAAAAGTCATCTATAGAAAGTATTATTTTAAAGGTTACGAATATTAACTAGATACGAAGGAATTTTAATTGACAAGTTGTAAGTAAAAGAATAATGTATTTAAAAAATTGAGTGAACTTTGTATATTTTAATATCTAATATCTTATGTTTTTTTTTTTTTATTTTTTTTATATCTATTATCTGAATCTTATATTTCTTTTTTCTACAGATAATATCAATGTAAACTTTATAAAAATGTTGAAACGTCCATTCAAAGAAGTAGAGCCTACCATGAGTGAACAAAAAGAATCAGAAAATTCTTCAGATGAAGAGGAACAGGAAACTGAGACTACTGATAATGTCATGAATGAAAATGATATTGAAGGTAATTTTAATTATAAATTGTTTTCTTTAAATGTAGATCTATATTTAACACGTTAAACGTTAAGTTTATTTTGCTGAACTTTCTATTTAAGCTACGATAATCTATCAGTAGTTGTAGAAAAACAACAATGTTAGATATTGATGACCAGATGTATACCCTAGACAGAAAGTCTAAGACTGATGTACTGGAATTGATGTGGTGTTTAATGTGTTGGAAGACTTTTTGATAAGTCGAAGAAATTAATGATTATAAATATTGTTACAGGTGTCGAAGAGGGACCTACTGCTCCAGAAATTGGATTTACAGCATTTAATATGAAAGATGAATTAGAGGAAGGTTATTTTGATAAACAAGGCCATTACTTATTGAAAAAAAGAAAGCAAATAAGAGATAATTGGCTAGATAATATTGATTGGGTTAAGGTCTGTTACATTATGAAAAAAGTGATATTTAATTTGTCTTTATTTGTTTTATAAAGCTTGTGATAATGTTATTAGGTAAAACCTAGATCTGGGCAAAACGTTACAGAAAAATCAGCAAAGAAATTTCACAGTTTAGCTGATAGCGAAAGTGACGATGATGAAACAGATATTATGTTTGATCCGATTCATCTGTATAAACAAATACTCGAATATCTAAAACCTGGAGAAACTGTATCTAAAGCTTTATGTAGACTTGGTAAATTTAATTATTGTTTCATAAAATACATTTTTTGGCTTTTCTTCTATAATAAATATAAATTTATATTGATTTGAATTTTAGGCAAAGGTAAAAAGAAATTGACAAATGCTGAAAGGTGGAAGAGGAAAAAGGAAGGAAAAAGTTTAGAAATGGATGATCAAAATTCTGTACAAATAACTAAATTGACAGAATTAGCTAATGAACTGTTAACACGTACTGGTAATATGGATATATATCAAGAAAGTTATGAGCTTATTAATAAAAAGGTAAAAAATATTTTATATTTAATTATGTAATCACTTTTTTCTAACGTATTCTATTGTAATAGGTTCAAGATCGTGAGAAACATAGTCATCCATCTAAGAAGGAGGCAGATTTGGACATGTATGCGGATGACTTTGATGTAAAAGAAAAAGCAAAGTTAGATGAAAATAATACGAACAATGGTAAGATTGATATTTATATAATAAATCACATATTTTTGTGTATTTATACTATATATATATATAAAATATTTTAGAAGTAGATAAAAAATCCGAAGAAACAGAAAATAAACAAAATAATGATGACATAGAACAAGTATCATGGGAATTAAAGTGGTCGCAAGTAGAAGATGCCGAAGTGCATGGTCCGTATACGTCTGAACAAATGCATGAATGGTCGAAAAAAGGTTATTTTAAGAAAAGTGCATGGGTAAGAAAAAGTGGCCAACAAACTCAGTTTAATAGTGCATCCAGAGTGGATTTTGAATTATACCTGTGATATGCACAATATTTTATTGATAATTATAAGAACCTTATCATATATTTTACTTTTTATAATTAAATATCTCTAATTAATTATTTTAAAGAAACAAGAAGAAAGAAAAAATTCTATCTTTTGTGCATAAATCTTTAAATTGATCTATAAATATTATAGATTAGAAATACATTTAATACATACTTACTCAACAATATTTAATGTAACTCGTGGAAGTACATTAAAATTGGACGTTTACTGTAATATAATCAAATTTCACCCGTTCCATTTATAATCTGTAATTATCTGTTCATTCCGTATCAAATATATACGTAGATTATTATATATATATATATATATATTCTAATCGTTAAATATTAAAATTGATTAATTTTAGATTATAATCACTTTCATTTTCTATCAGTGACAGCTCTCGTTATCGGTGATAATGAAAACAATTTAAATCAATGTCATGTTATTATCTTATTTAATATCATATATTATACAGGATCTTCTATATATTTGTAGTACAAGCGAGAAAGGAAATAATTCTACATGAAAAATCAAGTCAAAAATGTAAAATACAATTTGTTCATATAAACACATTTGTATTTAAGAATAATTCTCAATGTACAAGTTTATATTAAGAATGTTATGCAACATTTTCTATTTAATATTAATTATTCATGTAAAATCATCTCCTTATCATTTATAACAATAAATGAAGAACAACCCTGTATATTATTTAGTGATTATGAAATTGTTAAGAAAATATGTTTTAACACATACAAATGTATCTCTTAATATGTATAGGTATAACATATGTGAAAATACTGTGACACGTATGCGATTCTATTTATTTTCTTACCTGTATTATTAATGCCCTTTATTATAAAGAACATCCCCCCATGTGGCACTTATGGCAAAGAGAGAGAGTGAAAAAAAAAAAAAAAGTGAACTAATCACATGCTGGCGAGAGACTTCCTGCACAGATGACGACGGAAATGGAACGAAATAAACTTATGGTCTCAACGGAGTGTCGTAGTTGTAGCTCTTTAAATAAGAGACACGAAACTAAAATATCTATTTGTACAGTAAAAGCTGCAAATCTGTAGTCTAATCGTACATATTTTTTTTTTTTTTTAACGACACATTTAAAAGAGAAATCATAGAAAAGACATAGAACAAGGACGATATCACGAAATAATGCACACACACACAAAAAAAACAAATCTTTACGAGACATTAATACAGTTAATACAAGAAAGGATAGAATGATGAGATACAACGTTAACGAAAAAAAAGAATATATACAGTGTCGATAAAAATAAAAATATGTAAATAGAATTAGATTATTTTTAACAATATTTTCTTTTTACAATTGTTTTTTTTTTTTTTTTTATTAAATATATATATATATATTGTCAAATGTAAAATTTAAATGTAATGTGTGCTATAACGAGAATTAAACGCGTATACAATGAAAAAGAAAAAGGAAAAAAAAATGGAAAAGCTTTCAACGAATTTATTTTTTCATTTAAAAAAAGGAATTTGTGTGTTTCATTGTACTCCAATAAAAGAAGAAGAAGAAGCAGACGATTAAATTAAAAAATCATTTACAAATTCGTAGAGAATATTAGAGAGAAAAAAATTTCATTTCCACCAGTAGTACGTTTGTTCGACGCTGTATATTTATACGAACGAAAAAAAAGATGAGGGGGGAGGGGTGGAAAAAATAAAAAAAAAAAAAAAATATAAAAAAAATGTGCTAGTATACTCTTTTAACTTGATTGATGGATCTTTGACACAATTTTCGAACGAATATAAAAATAACTCGTACGATATGGGTTGGAAAAAAAGAAAGAAAGAAAAAAGAAAAAAACAAGAATAAACCAAACCCATTACAAATGATTCGAAAAGAGACCCTAACCGGGTAATTACTTTGAAATCTATTTTTAAATAACTCACTCAAAATTCCACGAGTCCTCGTTAGTTACATCTGTGTATAACGTGTTAGCTGTTCAAAAAAACAAAAACCAAAAAAAAACATACAAATATCCGAAGCAATTAATCAAATTTTCATCTATCGGCGGATAATTTGTACTCGATAATGTATAAATACTCATAAATAGAAAAAGAAAGAGAGTGAGAGAGAGAGAGAGAGAGAGAGAGAGTAATTTTTTTTTTTCTTTTTTATTTAGATGTCTTAAATATTTTTTTATTAGCAATGTAAGAAATTTCTATACGATATTACTTAAATAAAATACCATGCATATGCATATTTGGATTTGTCGTGTGTGTTAATAGTTGTATTTTAAAACAAGTATCCAAAAACTTTACGCTCACGCGTATTATACACGTGTGTATGTGTACATATACGTATGAATCATATGCATACATATTATGTATATATATATTTGTATATTATTTATAATTTGTAATTTTAAATTCGTACCTTTTTTTTTCTTTTTTTTTTTTTTGTTCTTTTTCGTTATGTATAAAATTTCGAAGAGTTATCAAAGGATAGAATTCGCGACGAAGTATAATTAAGGATTATTTTCTTTTTTTTTTGCGATAAGTAAAGATTTTATCATAAACAGAAAAAAAAAATGAAGAAAGATCAATAATAAATAATTATAAAGTCATTTACGAGATTACTACGTTATATAAATTCACTGATAAACTCGATGTAATGTATAACGTATGCGCATATGTATATATATATATATATAATGAGTGGGTTGAAAAGTTTTGAACTTAACGCATAGAAACCAATGTCAAAATAAAAGTGTTTTTTTTTTTATTATCGTTAAAGCTCAAAAATTTCAATCTATTCACACATACGCATACTGTTCATATATTCGAAATCACGCGGTAGATTTGAAATTGTTCAAATAATCCATTCGTTCAATGAAAAAATCAATGGATTATTGATACAAAAAAAAAAAAAATGTTTGAACATAAAACAACAAAAATTATTTGAAATAAAGAATTAGAATTGAGCGATAAGAAAAAGAATAAAATCATAAATGAATATTGTAATTTGAATATTCGAAGTTTTAACTAGCGTTGCTATTTATACAAAAATGAAAAACAATGTATATATATATATATGTGAACACAATGAACGATAAATCTTATGTTAGACGGAAAAGACGACGACGACGACACACATGGACGTTACGTAAATTATGTACAAACACATGAAAAATACATTGAATTAGGTTTTAGAGACATATACATGTTATATAAACACAAACGAATCAATCTACAGAGATTTGATGTAGAAATGAGTTCATTCCAAGTTCTGGAACGTGTACGTACGATCGGACAAGGACAAAACGAAAGGATCGTTGAACGAACACATACGCAAAACATGAAACGATGACGATGAATCATTTCACAAAAGTTGATTTTATGAATTTTTAAAACAATCATTTTAAGTTATTTCAATCGATCAAGATCGAAGATCGATAAAAGGCAGTCTTGAAAAAGTATTTCCAAATGTAGGTAATCTTAATAGGTTGTTTGTTTTCATTAATTAATCAATATTTTAATTTCATCATTTATATAAATTTCTGTTTATTTCATTTCATTTCATTAAAGTGGTGATTATGAAAGTGACAGGTGATATTTCAAATGTTGCATTATTCAAAATGTTAGACAACATTCAAAACTGTAAACAACAATACACAGGGCCGCGCATTCATCCAATCGTTTGACAAAAAAAAAGAAAAACACAATGGAAATATGAAGATGCAACTGATGACAGGATTTATCAAAGTATCAGTTTAATTATAAATCATTAGATATATTATTTATATAACAGATATTTTATTATAAGAGTATTATTGTTATATTATTAGAAAATAAAATAGAGAGGAAAATGATTTGTAATAATTGATGAAAAATACAGGAGACAAAAAAGTAAAATAATATTCATTAATTATTTGCATATGTAATCAAGTTTAAATATCACATATGTGAAAAATGAAATGATATTTAATGCAAATGTTCAATATTTGGAATATGTGTAAATAATGTAGATTTACAAAAAAAAAAAAAAACAAAACAAGAATTAGATTGTTTAATTAAAAAGTTATGATAATTTTCTTCTGTTTACCTATCACGTAATATACTTCACTGTAATCTCTGTACTTCTTGTCATTTATAGAAAAATCATTTTCAAATATAACATTATATATCAAATTAATAATATTAATAATAATGTGTATAAATAACAAGATCACTTTCATAATTACCAACTATAATTAATTTTTGCCAAAGTATTATTTTTCATTACGATTTTTCAATCAAAGTTTTCACGATGCTACTACGTTGTTATTCGATTAGCATAATAGTAGACGTACTTACTATACATAGTATACATGTGAGACGATTTTATTCGGGAAAAAATATGAAAAGTTTCAATTGACGTTGCAAAAAATATATAATATCATTTTATTGTTGTCCTTGTTATATGAAACTAGCAGCACTCATAGAGTTAAACAGACACACACACATAAAGAGAGAGAGACAGAGAGAGAGAGAGAAAAGGAGAATATATGTATGAAAGAAAGAGTGCGTATGAGATGAAAAATAGAGAAAGAAAAAAAGAGAGAGAGAGAAATAAAACGATAGAATTGCTCTGTGTGTGTGTGTATGTATGTTTGTGTATACTATATATATGTATGAATGAAAAAAAGAGAGAAAGGGGGAGAGAGAGAGAGAGGGATAAAAACAGGACACGGACATTCACAGGAACGTTTACTTATACGAGAAACGTGACGTACATTCGATATTTCGTTATATATACATATAAAAATAACCTTCGTCGTTGGCGTCGTGACGCCCCTCATCTTCTTTGCACGACGCTTATACGTAGCAATAGCAACAGCAGCAGTAGCAGCAAAATAGCAGCAGCAACAGCAGCAGCAACAGTAGTAGTAGTAGTAGTAGTAGTAAAAATGGTAACAGTAGTAACAGTGGCAACGACGACGACACCCTTGTGAAGGAAGTGTTCTTTTTTTTCTTTTTCTCTCTCTCTCTCTCTCTCTCTTTCTCTCACACACACACTCTTTTTCTTACCCTATCTTCC